CTACTTATTAGTATCATCAGTATTATTGTCATTATTTTTTGTTATGATGTCGGATGTTATTATGATTATTATTATCTTTATTATGATGATGATGATAATGGTGATGATGATGATGATGCGTATTATTATCACCATCATTTTATTATTATTAATATTATTAGCATTATCACTGTCATTATCATTATTATCATCATTATCATTATCATTATCATTATCATTGATATTAACATTATCATTATGATAACTGTTATCATTATCATTACCATAGTATATATATTTATGGGAAATACTGAAGTCGGTATGCATCTCCACATTTCTATTTCGAAACCGTACACTTCGACAAATACACATTCTGTACTTCCAATTTTAACTAATTCTGGACGGCTGATTTCAAAGACGCCATCAGGATTTCCCCGTGTGTTTTCTAATTCAGATATGGATTTTTCTGTTTCAAAATGACGACTTTCCATTGTTTCATTGAAATACAATAAGTCACCCTATTGCTTATTACTTATTATATTCTAAACACGTTTTAACCCATTGCCGCCGGGGATAGCATGTTCGTACATGCCATACCCACTGTGAGTCGACTTGTTCGATTGTTTTTACAGATAGATGGTTACACTTACACTATCCAATGAGCCAATTACGAATACTGCCTGTCTCGCCCGTTCACCCGTTTCATCGATTTACGAAAGTATTTAACGTTGTCCTAATTTGCTGTTAAAAATAACACCATCTATATTTATAGCACTAGTAAAAATACGTTTTTTCCCGCCAATTCAAGGAAAGGTGAAATCAGGACTAGTAGAGCCATCTATGGACAGAGATATTTCACAAAAAATATAAAAAATGAGTACTGCATTTCCCCCATTTTTTGTTCATTTTCCCCGGCGGCAATGGGTTAAGTACTGAGAATTATATAACATCATATGAACATGAGTTAAATGAAAAAAAAACGCTAATGTGATACTAAGACAATCCAATTTTCAAGTCAAGGGTCTACTTTCAATTAAAGTCTGTTTTCTTTTAACTAAAAATACTTGTTTCTTTTGTGGTATTAAAGTAAAAAAAAAATGTGTCATATTTATGTTCATTCGAGAAATCACTTATTTTTAACTTATTTAACTTTCCGTTTGAGACTATTTCATGATCATGATTTCATTATGACACATTATTTTCTAATATTGCTATATACACCAGATAAGAATATGAAAACATCAGAGCTATGGGTATATGTTCATTCAACAAAGGTCACACACACAAAATATAATGCTTGAGGTGGAAGTCAGCTATTTTTCCATTAAATGTTATATTGTAGTTTCTCTGTTCATTCTTTCACAATTCTTTGATAGGTTTGCTTGTTACTATGTATATCCTCTTCCGAAGGCAGTAAGTCTATATTCAGTATGCAGCATAGCCCATGTATTCTGCATCATATAGCAATAAAAAAACAAACTTCATTATAACGCCATGTCTTGTACGTTGCGTTATATACTATGAAGCATATTCCTATTGGTATTAAAGACAATTCTTATGCTGTTGTTCTTCATTAAAAGGTTTGTCTTTAAGTCTGATATTTTTTTTCCATTTTATTTGTTTGTTTGTTTTTAGGTGGGGGGGTTATTTTTTACGTGGCTTTCTCTGTAAATACATCTTCAACAACTGTATTTTAAAAATATATACAGTATTTTGAAAAAGTTTTCCGTTTCAATACCTATTTCCCCTCACAATAAAGTAATAATAAGCATACATAAGGCTTATATAAAAGATTTAACCAGCTACTGCATTTATTTTTCATTTATTTATTCTTTAAAGCAACAGCTGTAACGTTACCTTCGGCGTTGTCGTTGTATAGCCTTCGTGCCTGACGTGCTGTAGGAACGTACGACCTCAGGACGAGAAATGATCCAGCAGCCGTATCCTGAAGATTATATAACTTGCTCTGGCGTTTCTGCTGACGTCATTGTATATAAAACAGTATATAAAACACCGTAAAGAGGGTGTGCAGTACTAGGGCTGACTTGGCAATACTGTGGCCAAATTTGCTATCAATGAGAATTTCTCTTGGCAGTTGTATAATCCGCGGTTAATTTACACCGAACATGTGTTTCTTTCAGATGCGCTTAACCGAATTAAATAAGATGTGACCATGCTGTTGTCGTAATAGAGACTAATAAATTCTTCGTTTGACGCGTGTGCGGTAAAACTCTCGAAATGATTTCTAGTATGAGTGTTAAGATGTATCATGTACTTACACAAAATTCATGCTGACATTCATGTATAATTAGATGAACGCGCAGAAGAGAAGCAGGTCTTGGAAGCATTCTTATGGAAGTTAGTGTTGATATCAGAGTTCGAATATATCTGGGCAAGTTTGGGCTGCGGTATGTATATCAGTAATATATTCATAATGCACATTATGATGTTGATTAATCAGTAATATATTTGAACTGTGCGTCATAACATGAATAAATCAAATGATACGAAAACAGACACA